TGTTGTTAGCCTCCCTGGAGCTGCTAGCTCACTGTAGAGCTTCGGCGCATCCCCGCTCCAGGTGGACGGCGGGCGGGGCGCTGTTGTTGTTAGCCTCCCTGGAGCTGCTAGCTTACTGTGGAGCTTCGGCGCATCCCCGCTCCAGGTGGACGGCGGGCGGGGCGCTGTTGTTGTTAGCCTCACTGGAGCTGCTAGCCCGCTGTGGAGCCTCGGCGCGTCCCCGCTCCTGTTGTCGGATGTCATGGGAACACCAAGGATGGTAAGATGAGGGCAGTTGAGTTGATTTGCACGCTATTTGTTGTTATAATATGCTGGGCTAAGTTAGCTGCATTAGCTGCCTCACCTGAGTTAGCTGCACAAGCTGCGTGGTGTTGACACACTCAGGCTGTGAGCCGGGATTTATCTCTAGATCACCAGCTAGGAGTAACATTAATCAGGGCTGGGCGGTATGACAAAATTTTCATATCACGGTTTTAAGAAAAACTCATATTGGTTTCACGGTATTTCATGGTATTTTGCTCAGGTTCAGCCAACTTGACATGGTGCTGTGTTGTGCTATGGCCTATTCAAGTACTGGAATTTGTTATTTACCTGACAACGCCTGAACGCAACACACGCTCCGCTCCATTCATTTGGGCTCCACTGACTGCGTACGGAAGCGACACGTAGAGAAGCCAGCGGGGTTGTTTACCGTTTGCCGAGCCGAGAGGCTGCATGTAGGCTGCGTGAAATGTTAAAGCATTTTCCACCTAAGTTATTACATATATTTGAGTTATCTACAAGTTTACTGTACTGTTTGTCATCTACTCGCTTTCAAATGTCCGCCACGGACATTTACACAATGTCACGGATAAACATGGGTAAATGCATTTAAAAACACATTGTGCTCGTTTAGCACACTATTTCATGTAGTCACGGACTCGGGACGGGTCGTCTTCGGTCAGGGTCGTCTTCGGTCAGGAAAATGCGGCCCGAGTCGTGCTCTAGTGTGCTCACCTGTGTGTGTGCGTTTTGTCTGTGTGTGTGTGTGTGTGCGCGTGCGCATCGGGGCGAAACTCCGCCGTGCGCGATACAGAGGGCAGAGGAGAATTGTAAACGGCGGTGCGCCGCTGCTAGTTGCATATAGGGGAAACACTGCTCTTTTTGGTATGAGTTCTTCTGGGTCATCGTGTACAGTTGCTTTGCTTTCAGGACTCTCTCCAGCAGCCATTCTCGCCTCTAAACTTTTCTATGCTCTCACTCTCACCCGCTCAAGCGTGCCTGTGGTGTGCAGCGCTAAAACACTTTCCCGCCGCGCACGTTCCGGACGTTGTTTGGGCTATTCACCGGTATTGCGGTATATGAAAAATTCATATCATAACGAAAATAAATACCGGTTTTCGGTACAAACCGGTATACCACCCAGCCCTAACATTAATGACAACTCATTGTGGTTGTTGTGACACAGATAACTGTATGCCAATGCTGGCTTATGACTGTGAAAGCTGCCATTAGTTTTTTGTGTGGTTAACAGTTAGACTGCGTCGAAACATTTCTATGCGGCAGGAGGTGTGTCGTTAGGAGGCTCCGAGGGGAGAGGGACACGAGCTCAGAAGGGAGGGATCATGGAGCAAATCTTTCTCATCATCTTTCTAAAACGTTCTGAAAGCAGATGTATTGGGTTACAAACAACAGGAGGTGATATCATTAATTCACAGGGGGAATCGATAAGGGAATCAATAAAGAATCGGATCGATAAGCAGAATCGATAATGGCATTGATATCGATAAAATCCTATCAATTCCCATCCCTAGTTAAAAGCCATCTGAAGAAGATGAAGATGAACCTTGCAGTTGCCTAAGCAATGATGGTACGTTATAACATCAACATTTATTTTTCTGCATCTGTTTCCATTGCACTTAATCACATTTGCCTTTCATGGATACAGCAACTTTTCCAGCTCCCCAAAGAATAAAAATCCACTCAGATTCTTTATGTGCAAATTGCAGATGCACATAAAGAGAGGCTGATGGAAACACACCCAGTAAATGGTGAAAGATGTAGATGACAGATTGACAAAGACGAGGATTACCTCTAACCTCTAAGGTTATACCTAAGCATGAATTTTTTTGGGAATCTCAAAATTAGATTTGGTTCTGATTCTTGGTGTCATGACTCCATTCAATATCAGTCCTTGATTCAATAAGTCAAAAGGGGGCACTAGCTTTATGCTTTTAACAGTGAAAGATGTAGATGACAGATTGACAAAGACGAGGATTAACGGTAACGGTATGGTAACGTTAAAAATGTTACTCTTCTCGGCCTTCATGCATTCTTCATGTTGCAGATTGTGGTGTTTTTTCAGGTGGTTTAGCAGGTTACATTGCACAGACACATCTCATGCGCTCTTTGCACATGATTTGCTGTCCTGTGTCCAAACAACAGACGATGACTGATGATTTTCATTGAGCTCATCTGCAGTCGCAACATTCAGGACAGTTTCTTCCAGAGTGCTGCTGCAGGGGGTGCACAGAGCACCATGACAGCTCTTTAAAAATGGAGGCTGATTGTTAGTTTAGGAGGGGCTTGATTTGATATGAAGTGGAGTCCATGAGCAGAGCACACATTTTAAACGTCAGTATCACAGACGATCACAGCCACTGAATTGTGGGAAGCCAAAATCGTGATCATGATTAATATTTGACTAATTGTGCAGCCCTACCTCCACTATCAGCAGAAGAACATATCACCGTTACTTTTATGACATATAACAGTGGTCTTATCGAGCTTTGGCCAAAATGAGCAGCCATGCTATATCAGAGCCAAGACCACATATTTAAATCTACCGACTACACTGATAACAACATGTGTGAGGCTATGTCTGATTCAGCTCAGCAGGTGAATGACAACAAAAAGAAACCCTTTTTACATCATGCGTGAGTGTGTGTTTTAAATATGTCTCACTTGGCATTGGACAGAGCAGTTCCAGCATCATTCACAGCGCTGGTTCTATCAGCTAGAGCAGCTTCTAGTTCCTTCCACTGGGCTGACTTCTCCTCAGGTGGGACCTGGATTAATAAGAACTATAATCACTCTACTGCAAAACAAATAAAGTGTCACAGCACAGGAAACACAGCTAAAATGTTTTGTTGTTATGTCTAGGAGACTTACTTACCTCTAACCTCTAAGGTTATACCTAAGCATGAATTTTTTTGGGAATCTCAAAATTAGATTTGGTTCTGATTCTTGGTGTCATGACTCCATTCAATATCAATCCTTGATTCAATAAGTCAAAAGGGGGCACTAGCTTTATGCTTTTAACAGTCCCTTCCAGAAAAATCGCGCTCTTGCGATTGCAACAATTAATGCAAATTCAATGAAAGTCCGCAATATTTGCGGGGGCTTGCAATTTTTCAGAAGTCCCGCAATTTTTCAGCGTTTTTCTGCATTTTCTAGCATTTTCTGGCTGACCGGAAATCGTCACACATGCAACGTCATTTGAAACGTCATCAGACGCGTCATCAAATGCGCTAATGGTATTGTAGTATGGATAAACGCCCTGTATTGACATAAGAATTTGCACTGTTTAAATGCATACAATATGAGTTGAATGTATTAAAATGTTATGTTTACAGAAGATGTACCTTACATGTTGTTTTACAGTCACATTGTCTGGTTTGAGAGCTACAATATTCACTCAGCATTTTTTACAACATTCTTGGAGTCGATGTTTGATGATGATTAAATAAAACTAAAGAAGAGAACTATAAAAAACATTTGCAGCTATTTTTGTAATATTCAGTATGATTATTATAGCAAGTGATTCCATGACTTTTTTGTTTTGGAGGTAGTAATTAAAGGAGCTATATGTAAGAAATCCAAAGCAAATAGTCGTAAAATCCTCCTAATATGTCACAGAGACTAAGAAATAATGTTCATATAACATACTGATCTCACCGACAACAAGAGTACAGCCAGAATATTTGCATCTAAAAAAATTTTTGCAGTCTGCAAATCATGTTAATGGTTTGAATTTGTGTTTTGGCCTGTTGCGCCACCCACCGCCGTCTACCAGTCACGCAGTCAGTAGAGTCTCAGCATCAGTTACAGTTACGACTGAGCTACAGCAGCACGGCAAGCAGCATTAGCAGTGTCCCGGTACATAGCATTAGCAGCCGGTTCCTCCTCAGCTGTATCCCGGCAGCAGCATTAGCAGCAGAGAAGCCGGACTTGCTCGAACGGTCCGCTGGAAAAACGGATCAAGGACGCGGCGACACAGCCCTGCCATGGCAGCCGCCCGTGTGCAAACAAATCAGTCTTCAGCGTACCGCTGTCCAGCAACCTTGAATCTGTAGGGGAGGGGGGGGCGGACACGACTCGCGGCAGTATTTTGAATTTGAGTGCAGTAACTGTTTTGGCCACATTCTTACATACAGCGCCTTTAGAAAAAAAATAATAATAATAAAAAAAAATCTCTTTTTTTTCTCCTTTTGTCATTAGCCACAATTTTTGTCATTTGCCACAAAAATGGAGCGACTGTTTTTATCCAGTTCACTGCGTGTCAACTGTTTACGCCTGTCCTCAGTTCACTGAATTAGAATATGAAACATAACAGGAATTTATGTGGTAGGGATTACTATCTGACTCACACAAATAAAAGTAAACTGTATTTATTCAGAGGCATATGACAGTCTTCTACTGGTATGTGAATTCAAATAAACACAAGAAGTTTGTGCTCTGATAAAAAAAAAAAAAAAAAAAAAGGGATCAGCACTCAGTGAATAATCCTCCTAAGCCCTACGATAAGCTATTATGGCAAGGCTTAACTATACAGACCCGTGAGCAGTGATAACTAACATGTCTTTGGGGTCATCGGGTGGGAACCTCCTTTCACCGGTGTTTCGTCTAGTTAGTCCCACGACACCTCCAGGAGGCTAGACAGTGATCTCTGGCGTCCCAGAGACACTCCCCTAATGCCAGGTCTCACTGCTCCCCACACTAACCGAACAACCTCCTTTACTTTAATGAAATAAATGGGCAGCTGTGGCTCAGGAGGTAGAATGGGTCATCTACTAATCGGAAATTCAGCGGTTTGATCCCTGGCTCTTTCAGTCTGCATTTTGAAGTACCCTTAGGCAAGATAATAAACCCAAAATTGTTCTTGATGGTTGTTTCATCAGTGTGTGTGCCTAAAACCTGAGTAGCAGGTTGCGCCTTGTATGTTAGCCTCAGCCACCAGTGTGCGAATGGGTGAATGTGACTCGTAGTGTAAAAGTGCTTTGAGTGGTCAAAAATTTAGAAAGGTGCTATACAAGTGCAGGTCCATTTACCAAATATAATCTACCGTCTCACATCACTGGTTAAATATTTTTTGTACAACAGACTGAAAGATCCAACCTAAAGAAATTCCACACTGACCACTGTGACCTTTTCTTTATGACAGTTCAACTATGACATTGTCAGTGTTGTAATGTAATTTGAGTTGGCATTCCTTCTAATTTTCTCAAAAGCTGTACAGTAAAATAACTTAAATTTCCCAAAGTCACAGTCAGAGTCATCCTGAAAAACATTACACTGAAGGAAAAAAATAATTAATTTAATTTTTGAGATTTTAAAAATGAAGATATTTTCGATGTGTTACAATATTTTCAGCTGAACTTCCCTGTACAGCAATGTGTGTGAAACTGTTCATGGTCATAGGAACATTTTGAGCAGAAGTCCATTTCCCTTCTCGGTAAACCTTATATGGAAACTGTTCATTATATTAGGATTGCTTTGGTGATGTCACATATTCAACAAGACTTGTTTAATATATGACATGTAATAAATCATTGCTGTAATGCGAGACTGTCTTTGACCTTTTTGGCCTCTTTGAGTAACGAATCGACTTTGTGGTCGTGCTCTCAACTGATCACCACCTGCTGGTGAGGTAAAGCAGATAGTGAGGAAGGATGACAGACAGAACTGGTAAACCCAAATATGTAGTGAGGGTGAACTGGGAGCGCCTGGCTGAGGCCTGAGGCTGTGGACTTGGACCAGGAATATTGTCAAGTGGTGGAAACAGACTCCTGAACTTGACCAACGCATCCTCTGTGAAGGAGGTCTGGTTAGCACGAGCCAGAGATGGGGACTCGAGTCATTGTGACTTGGACTCGAGTCGACTTGAGTCGCTGTTTTGATGACTTGTGACTTGACTTGACAAAAAATAAAAGACTTGCGACTTGACTCTGACTTGGAAGTTAAAGACTCGGGACTTGACTTGACTTGAGACACGATGACTTGAATGACTTGAGTGTTATTCACATCATGTTTTCGGTTAGAATATAAAATTAATAAATTAATTTAAAAAATAATGTCGATTACCCGGTAGGAGCGCAGGCTGAGAATGGCGTTGTCATGATTGGATCACTACCCTGTCAATCAGTCATGCCCTCTCTACGTACCTTACGTGTTTATTGGAGAAACAGGCCCTCTTATATCAGATAGGCATCAACATGTCAGTGGGAGGGGTACCAAGAGTCATCGTCTTCGGCTTTCGGAATTACCATTATTACGGCAAAAGACGAACAGCACAGTGCAAGACATGCGGCATAAACATCTCGGACAGCCAGACGACAACTTCAAGCTCTGTTCGTCATTTGAAGAGCCATTCTGCCCAGTAAGTGCTTGTCAATTAGCTAATATTATCTGGTTAGTCGGTAGTTAGCTAACGTTAGCCTGATACAATACGGGGATGGAGTGGGGGGTTGGTTTGGTGGAACTTGTTTTTTTAATTTATTTGCTAACATTAACCCCAGAAAACGTGAGCGAACATTCCGACCGGTTCATCACAAGACCGGCTGTACGTTTTATGAACGAGCTACACAGGGTTAAATGAGCTAAATGGGTGAGTTTGGCCGCTGCCTTGGTTAGTGTGTGTGTGTGTGTGTGTGTGTGTGTGTGTGTGTGTGTGT